CAGCAGAAGTTGGCATTTTTATGGCATAGCAATCTTGTTTTCTTCATGCACTTAAATTGAAATCACTGACACTCAACAATGCATGAGGAGTGTCGGTGACTCCTACGTGTAAAGATGGAAAGAGTTAAAAAATATCCAGATCATAAATAAAATGAAATCTTAGCTATGAAACCGTGCCATTTAACTCACCACACTTCAGTTCAGTGGTAAAACACTGTGAAAAATGAATGTAAATAATATTTATTTTCCATATTTTAGCAATCCACTTGCTTTTCATATTCCAATTACAACACTCTCTTTAGTATTAGTTTAGGCACTGGGTCAGCACAACAGACGACCACATCCTGAACTGCTTTCCTGAATCATGATCTTCCAGGACATAAATAGCGTCAAACGATTTCTTCTGAGACGAATGATGATGATAGCAATGGCGTTTCCGTGACTTCCAGCCCTGAGTGTATGGATCACGGGACTGTGCACCACTGAAAGAAATGGTGCAGCCTACAGCTCGGCTGAGGCTAAAAGCAGCTGCCATGGTGGTGACTGTCCTTGGCTGTGCTCGCTTACAACAGCCAGGAACAGGGGTTATAAGCTACTCTGCCATCCGAGGAACTGGACGGAATATATGGGTATATATATTGAATATATATGAGATCGGTATTCAGCCCTATGAAACAGTAATTCCCGTGACAGGCCCTTAGACTGTACTCACTTTAAGGCACCTCAGACAAAGCCATGCAAATTTCAGGTCTCCAGGTAAGAGCACCCTGTCTCCCATGGGCACCTCATCTTGGTGGGGAAGGGCAGGGAAGGAGAGAGTGCCATCTATCTTTGCCATGCGCTTGCTGTGCTAAGATCGAAATAGACCCATAATTACAACCGCATTTTTAATATATGTGGGTTAAAGCACATCTTAGGGAAGAGCAGCTATTTCATCAGTGCACAACTATTTTCTATTATTCAGACAAAGGAACAACCTTGGATGCACAAAAGCAGGCTCTCTGGGCCAGCTTTGAAAAATCATTTGGGTCCAGCTTAATGGGAAAAGCTCAGGCTTGCCTTCCGTATAGTCAGGCTCCAAAGCCATGAGGAGGGCCCGGCGGCAGCAGCAGCATTGTGCCTTTCAAGACCCCAGTCACGGCCGTGGCCCTTAGTGATACTCGGCGTGCTCGGGCTGAGTCCACGTCAAACTTTGGTGCCAATTTATACATATGTATTTTGCATCATCTGCAAGCAATTCTAAATCACATTCGCAGACCCCGATCCTGATAGGGGAACTCCAACCACCCGGACATCTGTTGGAAAAGCAGCACGGCGAACTGCAAGCAGTCCTAGTACAGGTGACGGAGAGCCCGACCAGAGGAGAGGCACTGCTGGACCTGTTGCTCACTCATGCAGAACTTACCGGAGAGGTGAAGACTGGAGGTAGCCTGGGCTGTGGTCATGCGGTCATGCCCTGGTGGAATTCTCAATCTCGAGGGGTACAAGATGGGTGAAAAGTAGAGTCGGGTCCCTAAACCTCAGAAAGGCAAACTGTCGGCTGTTTAGGGTGCTAGTGCATGGGATCCCTTGGGAAACTGCCCTCAGAAGCAAAGGAGCGAATGAGAGCTGGGAGATATTTAAAGACATTTTTCTTAGGGTGCAAGAGCTCTCAATCCCAATGTGCAAGAAGTCGGGCAGGGGAGGCAGGAGGCCAGCTTGGCTAAGTCAAGAAAGTCAAGACCTCTTAGCCAAACTAAAACACAAAAACCAAAATGCATAGGCAGTGGAGGCAGGGATATACATCCCGGGGAGATTATATATGTATATTATATTGAAAAAAAAAAATTTAAGTACTACCTGTCTTAGTTTGCTACACATTTTACAGGAGCACCCAGCCTGTCGGGCACTATCTCAAGGGAGACTGTTCCAACACATCTTTTTCCCCATATTCTCCTCTCTGACTGGCAACGTGACAGCACTAAAAATGGGTCATTTGCAAGAAGCTGGAGGTGTGGAAAAGGTCTCACATTCCTGGACACAAAGCATTTCACCTGCCACATTTCTTCCAAAAAAAAAGGTGGTTTTACCATTTGGTTCTAGTTCCAGACTTGAGGGGAACCTCAGCATGTTTTTAACAGCACACATAAGGAGAAGTTTGAGGATTTCTTTCTTTCTTTCTTTCTTTCTTTCTTTCTTTCTTTCTTTCTTTCTTTCTTTCTTTCTTTTTTTTTTTTTAAATCCATGGCAACTGGCACCCCTGCATGAACCAAGTCTGCTCACCTCTGTGAACGTCCCAGAAGTGCAGCATAATTTCTTCAAGTAGAAACAGCCACCTCTGGCCAGGTCCCGGCTCAGCAGCAGAAGCCGAGGTACAGCAGAGCAGTGTAGGAAAGCCATCAACCAGCTCCGCTCTCCTTCTCTCCTCACCCCCTCCTCAGCACTCAATTCATTCGTGCTGAAACTGGAAAAGCCCCTCCAATATCTAAATGGGAACACAGCGTGGCAGCTCTGCTCAGGCCTGGCAGGGACATGGACATGCTCCACACCAGGAATGCAGCATCTGAGAGAGTCTGCGGGACACAGACCCATGATAAACCCAACATCTCTCTCAAGAGGCGAAGCACCCCTGTTCAGTCATTTTTGTCACACAGCTCCCTGTTTATAAACTGTGCTGCTTTAGAGACGTGCACTTCTCCTTATCCAAATACAAACACAGCTACATTAATCCAGAGTTGACAGCTATTGGCTTTTGCCCACTTTAAAACACTAGTAGTAACTTTTAATAAAATGGTGCTCAACAAGACAAAAAATATCTGTTAAAATCACATCATTTTCCTAGTCGCACTGTGCTAGTAACGGCATATATGAATCACAACACGTGGCACAAATCTGCAGCATCGCCCTTTTACAAAGTCAAGCCAGAGCAAATTTAGAAGTTAATCTTACGATTTATACCCGCTCTTTCCCATTTTCTTGTTGAGAGGTTTCTTTCAAGATTGCACGTAAATTCAGCACTTCTAAAGCAAACCAACCAAACAAACAAAATCACTTAAACATTTCTTTGAAAAACTATATTAAACAAAAAGATTACACAGGATAAGGAAAATCAGAAGAAGAACAATACAACAGGCATTGAGGCCAGAAGGTGATCAAGCCCAAGAAACACTGAAACACGTCGGTTTCACAGCAAAACTTCCCTCAGAATGAAAGTACCCATAAATTCCAGACTGTACTCACATTTTTTCCCTTTTTTGTAGTAAATATTACACTTATTTAGAAGGGCACTGCTATTTTACAGTTTCTTAAAAACAATAAAAAGATAGCTAGTAAAAATTTAGACCATCAGCAGCATCTGCTATAGTACAAGATCAAAACAAGACAATATATTTGTGTGACTCACTGAAAACTCTTTGTGCTCCTCCTATAAAAAATATTGTCCTTGGCTTTGAAAAAACACCAAGATCAAAGGTTTGACTAATATTCAAAGTATGCAAATGGCATGCTAATCAAAGTCCCTAATCCAAAAGACTTATTGGCTCAAAATAGACTTTTGGTGTGATCCCAATTTAATTTCACCACACCTGAAATGTCCAGAACATACATGTATTATATTTAAACATATACATTTTGAGTGACTGCAATTCTAGCTCACATCAAAATGCGGCATCGGCAGTTGCCAGAACGAATGATGCCATCCTGCTCTTTGCTGAGGTCATCGGCTAGGCTATTGCCTCTCATCTTTTTGCTCAGTGCAGCTTAAACACATGCAGAAATCAGCGCAACAGGGGGGGTTTAATGTAATTTTCAGTGAAATTCAAACAAGTCATCACACCTGCGAAGCAAAGGCAGTGCCAGAACCATCATCCCCCCTGCTCTTTGAGGGATCCTATACAAGATACGAAAACCAGAGCATAAGGTGCCATGCGCTTTGAAAACAAGCAAGCAGCAAACCTGAGGGCAGCAGGCAAAAGCAGGTCCCAGCTTAGGTTCCCGTCCACTGCCTCACCCCCTGCAAGAGGTTTTGGGCGGGCAGGACATAATTCCACACGCGAGTCAAAAGGGGAGGGAAGATGGTTTGTTTCTAGCTGATTTCACAAGCCCTGATTAGCAGATCATAAACAAATGCAAACAGTTAATATTCACAGAGAAACCTCTTGTACCTAAATATTATAATAGATTTAACATCATTAATAAATATATAAAACATGTTAATCTCACAGACAAAACACGTTTCAAAGGTCACCATTGACTGAAAAATCTAGGCAGTTTGGTCGTTGTTTAAAGCACTGAAGAATTATACACAGATAATAATGTGAGTGTTAAGAACAGGCTCACAAAATACAAACTTAAGCTTGGTTTAACATTTCTGAAGAGGCTCTGAACAGGCCCTAGAAGCTATTCTGAATGGCCTTCAAATGAAGGCACTTGCAGCCATTGCATATTTAAGAACAGAAGAAACTCCTTTACGCTGTACATATCTCAGCACTTTATCTAGATCAGCTGCAAACCAGGTATTCCCCAGGGACCAGCACACAGGTAAGCGGATCTGTCCCAAACAATGCTGCTCTACATTTCATACGATCTCATGCTGAAAGAGGAGATCATCAGTCAGCGCTTAAAAGCCTTGGTCTGGGAGATGGAGACCTAGGTGCTCACTCCTAGCCCTGACAGACTTCTTCTGTCATCTTAAGCCAGGCCCTTTATCTCTCTGTCTCCTCAGTTCACCTGCCTCTGGAAAGGAGAGGCAGCAATTCCCTGCCTCGCAGTACTGTTCTGAGGCTTAATTTCACAAGGTGTTTTTGAAGAGTCTCAGAAAAGGCACTATAAAAGTGCAGCTATTATAATTGTCAGAAACACAGACAAAGGTGTGCGTCCCACAAGCCTTTCCCGAGATGCAGATGTGCAAATCTAGAAGAGATGAGGACTCGCACTTGGTCACACTGCAGCAGTCCCATCACAGCAGCTTTGTTTTCTCCCATAGCTTTGAACAAGCTTCACATTTCCAGGTCTCGACAGAATTACTGGGCTGCCCCGTTCCGCAGACTGTCTCCCGTCTCCATTTGTTCTAAGGGGCCAAATTCGGGATGTGTGACCGGAGACTTCCTTGGGCCTCGGAGAGTGTGCGCATTCAACATCTCCAGCAGCAAGTCATACACTGGGACCACATTTTTACACTTCATGCTCAGGAGATGCTCCATTCCCTTGTTACTGTGAAGGAGAACAAAAAATAAGTCAGCGATCTGGGTCTGACAATGCAGAGAAGGAAAACACATTCGCGGCCTCAAGAGAGTCCTTTTTTTATTAGGAGTTAAAAGGATTCAGCTGCTGTAGTCCCGGAGATCACTTACCACTATCAACAGTAACAACATCCCAATACTTCAAAGCTGAGTGTTTTACTATTTAGAGAACCAAGATTTGTTCTACACCACACGAACTGACTTCAGAAAATAATGCAGATGTACCGACCCTATTGAAATCAAAGAGAATACCTCTTTGATGCTGTAAAAGTGGGAGGCCCACACGCTGCAGCTTTATACAAAAGGGGAATTTACAATGTGTAGCCCTAGTGACTACCTACCCCTCCTGCCTGGTTGAGTAGGAAGACGAAACTACCCTGGCTAACTTCAAGCAGTTTGTTTCCTCTCTGCATGTCCAGTGCCAGATCTTGCAGATGGCTACAGGCTTTAAAAGTAATTTTTTTGTTATGCAGTAAGAGACAATGTCACCTTGTTAGCTTGAACGCTCTGTGGCTGTATCATGATTTGGACTACCAGGAAATGGCTGTTGCCATTGCAGTTGCACATACATTTACTTCAGATGCACTCAAGGTTTTGGGGTTGAAATCTAAGTGTGCTTGCTCAATACCAAATACAGTGGAAATAGCAGCAGACAGCCAGCACATAGCTGACCTGGTGGACTGGATTGGGAGGGGGGCAATGCTTCCAGAAAAATGAGGTTCTGCTACAATTCAAGAGTTATAAATACATTAATGGCAAAGAAGAAATTGCAGCCCCACTCCTACACCCAGCTCTTGAGAGTTCCGCATCATTTGGTAATCAAGGCTAAGAGCATCAATTATTTCCAGAACAAAATATAATTGACTGACCAGTGCTAAGCAACGTAAAGGAGACAGGTCACAATGAGTAGCCTCCAGACTTCAGTTGAGGCAGGCACACCATAAAAACTCGTTTTAATAAGAAAATATAAAAATTTTGCAAAGATTTACAATGTTTATTCACACCATGCCAGAACAAGAGCTCCTGCGATGCTGTGATGTGGTGTCACACCGCAGTGGGCAACCCACGTGATGGCAATGCATCAGAGGCGTGAGTCGGGTTCAGCTCTGGCTGGTGCTGTAGCTTCCGTAGGGCCGGCTCTCAAACTCCCCCCCCAGATCACAAACTGGCTGTTAAAAGCTGCCTTTTGGCACAGTCAGGTCCCTGCTGCTGCCACCCGCTCTCCCAGGAAGCTTGCTGCAAAGGTGGCTGTCTCTTTTCCAGTGTCCCTATACAAGTCAGATATGCCCATCTCTCCTTTGCATGCTCCAGCCTGGTCCCAGGACCGTCTTCCCTGGAAACACAGTCCAAAGCCAAGACATAAGACAGCCTTGTGAATAGCTGGTCTCTGGGTAATAATTTAAAGTGACAAACAGCCTGAAAATTAAAGCATCTGTTTGTAGGGCCCTGCGTTTGAGTCTGCTGTACTGCAAGCAAAGATAAGCAGCTCAAGGAGGTCCAGGAACTGGCAGGGAGCAGAGGAGCTGCCTCCCATGGGGAAAGCAGGAGGGTGGCATCGCTGTAGCACAAGTCACTTGGCAAAAATACTGTGGTTCTGAATAAAAAACAACAAATGTGGCCTGGGACAAACATGGCACCCAAAGTACACTTTGCTCCACCAAAGCCCACGCTGCAGATCAGTTCTGAAAGAGGCGAAGAGTGGAAGAGTTTTGGTGGCTGGGTGGGGTTTTTTTTGACAGACCGAATTTGTGTTATTATTGTTAAACATTTCAGGCAGATAGATAATGAACAATTTAACGTAATACAGTTAAGGCAGCATTTCAATATCAACACAACATTTCTGAGCGCCAGCAAGCACTTCAGCATATTGCCTGTTTAGTTGTGCTAGGAAGGAAAGCCTTACAATGAACAGAGATGAAGAGCAGTACCAGGATTCCCTCGGGAGTGCTCTGGACTTCAAGCCTTGCTTTGTTGCTGTAAGAAACAAACACCAACACCTTACGCCTTACACACATTCTGTTAAATTTACCTTGCGTGTCTGACGTGAGACAGGAGCATCAACAAATTGGCCAGACGAGTTGTCTGCTGCTGCGAGGGGATTCCGCTCTTTGCAATAACCCACACCAAAGCATCTGTGACTACATTAAGAAGGTGATGCAGTTTCCTGTTGCTTTCAGGTTCTTCTGCTGACAAAGGAAACATGCCTAACCAGAGAAGAGAAAGAAATACTCCCTGCTTATGAGGAAGGAAAAAAAGCTACCACTGTGGATTTTTTTTCTGATGTAATATTTCAACAGGATTAGAGAAGATAGATTTCCTGACGCTCCCTCTCAAGGCTGCACAAACGATGCTCCATGTGCCACACCAAGCTCCGACTTACTTACATTCCTTTGCCAAAATTTGACGGCCACATCATTTGCAAACTGAATAACTCTCCCAAATCCTCCCAAGACAACATGTTGAACATAGACCCGTCAGTCCAGAGAATGGACATGCTCTCCATTCTCCAGGGGTTTTTCCTTTGAATCACTCTGTACCTTGTAGTTCAGTAACTATTATGAATTATAGCATTATGCTTGCTCTAATACCTTCTTGCTGAAAAGTTTTTTTTTTTTCTCTGAGTATATCCTAGGGAGGGAAGAGAACATGGTGAGAGACACAGCTCATAGACCCAGCCTGCCATGGTCTCCCTACAGCTCGCTAAGGGTGCCATAATGCAGTACTTGCCTACAGTGAGAAACCTTAAAAGTCAGCAAAAGCAAAAAAAGGGGATTGGGGGTATGGAGAGGGAAGAGAAGAAAACACCACTAGGAAGGTTTGGAAACACACAATAACATTATTGATAGAGTAGAAGAGACCTGGGTATTATTAAAAAAAAAAAAATCCTTCCAAAGATACTTATGGAAGGACAGAGCTCCAGAACACCTTGAAAATTAGGAGTAAAAGATGATTAACTTTGACAAGAAAGGAGAGCAGGGAGAGGTGAAAGGACAGACTTTTTGAGAGGTGAGGCTTTGAAGAAAATATGGCTGATGAACATGGTTTTTTGTTGGGTTTTTTGGTTGGTTGTTGTTGTGGGTTTTTTTAAGAAAGAAAGAACAGCTTTTGTTGTCTGTTGAAATAAACAAGTGGGATAACAGCTGGACTATTCCCCTTCAGAACCGGGCTGAGAATTATGCAGCAGCTCCTTGCTGAAAACAGGAGATGTAAATAGTTAGATGTTGTTTTGTTGTGGTTTTTTTCTGACAACATTAATTACAGCATGTTCTGGGGAACAAAATTATTTTACTGCAGACTACCCTAAACTAGCAAACACACACTCTTATTCACCTTGTGTAAGAGGCTGCAAAGCAAAGCTCCTGTCCTGAAATTCATCTTGCAGAACTGTTGAGTACTTTCAATCATTTCTACCAATTAATTACCATTAAATAGGAGCATTTAAGCCCAATTAATCATCACTCAGTTGAGTAATTAGTTTTACTAGAATTAAGAATTAAGGACAGGTTTGTAGAGCTGTACAGCAACTTTACACATGACCAGGATCCACAGAGATACGAGCAAAACTTCTCATTGAAAAGGACAGACCCACAGCCTGGGTCATGAGCCCAACCCTGTGAGAAGCTCTCAGACTTTGGGTCTTTCATGCGATTCTTACAACAGAACATAGACCCTAAATCCAGCAAATGATACAGTTTAGAAGTTTCTTGAGCAAAAATCCTTACAAAGTGATGGTTAGAAGTCCTTTCCTATTGTTCTCTTTCAACGGCTTTATCGCATTTGATATTTCTGCCATTTTTAGAGGCTGATTTCCCAGCCACTCTTGAAATAAAAAAGTACAATTTGGTGAGCGTCAGAGTCAACTGCGTACTCACTGGAATTGAGGAGGATCATTGCCTTGACACACAGATACTCCTTGTGCTGCAGTTTCAGCTCTCGGAACCTCGAGGTCATGGCCAGGAGCATATCAAAGATCTCCAAAATTCCCTCTACGCATTTCCCCTCATCCCTATGGAAACACATTTAAAATATTACCCAAAAAGTAGAATTAAGGAACTCTGACTCAGCCAGATAAAAGTCAAAGCATAAAGGAGGTTGCAAAAGGCCTATCCATCTCATCTTTGGGAGGATTCAAAAGGTTCTATCATGAAATCTAAATTGAAAATTACACTGGTATAAAAGGTCAGCACCTCTAAGAAACTGATTTTCTCTTTAAAGCGCATGCAGGACTGACTGCAGGTAAGTATGACCATATTTCTGTGTAGAGGCTTTATCCTCATAGCAGTATAATTCTGGATAATCGGTTTGAAACTCTGTAGTGCAGGGCACAATACCATTTTGAATCATCTTCCAGATTTGTTCCACGAAGAGTTAATACCACAACTGGTGCCATCACTATTTGTACCTGACGGAGGCCTCAGGACTTGGTGAATAAGACAGATCCCCTAAAATAAGTTTCTTGGAACACTAAGACATTTTTAAAGAATAAAACAACCTCTACCCCCATCCTCCATCCCCTTTTTCTTTGAAGATTTTTGGGGTTTTGGTGGTTTGGTTATTTTTCTGTTTGCGAGTGTTTACTGAATGCAACTTTCTCTGTTTTGGATATTAGAAACGGTCCCATTCTCTGATCTGAAAAAAAACCCAAACAACCCTAAGCCATTCCAATGGGTTTAAAATTAAGCAGCAGCAAATTTCAAACCACTGAAGTTACTGTTCCAGTTTTTTGGTTAGTTTTTTTTTACACGTACTGGACTTAAAAAGCAATTAAGCTCTACAACAGAGTATTCAAAGGGTTGCTTCTTATACTATCATCTGGAAGACTGAGGGGTTTTTTTTCTGTAGCTTTTTTAAGACAAGACAGACTTAAGCACAGCAGTGCAGGAGAATTAAAGAACTTTACTCCTCTACTGGATCCCAAGCGGAAGGCGCTGAGCCTGCAGGCTGTGAGGCAGGCGCAGGCAGACAACACTAACCAGGTGCAGCAAGTACTGCCCGCAGAAAGGCAACTGCCTGAGGATCGCCCAGTTTCCCACGTTCCTCATAGCAAAGGAGAATTTTAAGCTTTGTAGAAGCACAGGCAGCTGCCAGTTTCAAAACAGAGACAAAAGCATCAGAGAAGTACTTGTCTACAAAGATTATGTAGGAAATGTATCTGAAGTTCAGCTAAGATAAAAACAATCAAGTTACAGACCAGTTTCATATACGCATGTCTTAAAAAGAATAAAATTACGGTATGCCCAGACGCTTGCTAGCTCCCACTCTGCTGTGTCGTGTGGAGACGAAGGAATGCATCAAATAAGCTCACTCTATTCAGCACATGTTAGCTCCCGAGGAACTAAATGTATCATACATTTTCAGGAATTTCTTATTATTGCATTGAACGACACAGCGTGTCCTTGCATTGAATTTTATATGAGCAAATAATAATTTATTTCATATCTTTTATAAATTAAATTTATTTCTCTTACTAACCCATTTTGCTTTCTATATCTATGACGGTGATCATTATTCAGCTCAAGCCACAGAACTGGTACAGAACTGAATTTCCCCAGGTTGAAAAGGTTAAGAGGCATTTTAAATCTACCCAAGAGAGTAGATTGTTTCCCTGACTTTTTACCAATGTGAAGCCCAGGTCAAATCCTTCTAAGATCCTGTAGAAAAACACCCTTACTAATCCATGTTCTTCCCTGTTGGTACATGATGTTATGGAGAAATAATTTTGCAAACACCCTGCTTTAGCTTGAAAAAAATACCTTCAGTATTAAAAAGCAAGCTAGGGTTTTTTTAATCCCTTTTGACTAGTGCTGCAATGTTCATTATTATAGCTATTTATGAAGTCTGCACTAGGGGCAGGAAGAAAAATAGGTAGAAAAGCTACTTAAAATAATTAAAATATGGCCTGACACTATGTCTGCTTTTTTTTGAGGGATGGGGGGAGAAAATCTGTCAGCTGGAAGAAATTGATTGACAATGTAGTGCATTGTGTTGATGTGTTTACAGTTTCAGCATCTAGAGACCCAGACCAAAAGGAACAAAACCAACAAAAGATGTGAAAAAAAAATACAGAGAAACTTCAAACTGTCACATGCTACAGGAATCAAGGAACTGGCAAGTTCAACAATACTGTTTATGTTTAGCATTCCTTAAGCCCCTGTAAGGATGTGGAACCTTGTGACATTATTGTTACCAATACAAGTAAATTATATTGTTAGATAAAATACTAATAGCATCTCCCATACTTAATCCTCTTCCTCTTACCATTCACACCCCCTCCAAACATGCTAATATGAAGTGTTCTCAAGAAATTTATTTCCCTTACCTGTCTAATACAAGGTCAGGTGCAAAAATCAGTTTCCCAGGATGGTCGATTGATCTCCACATCAAACCAACCATTAAAACTTCCATCCAGCAGCTCTCCAAGAGTCTTACTTGGTCATAGAGGCTGAGATCAATGAAACCTAAAATGATGAAAATAGCATAAAATAAATCAACCTGTTTATTTCTCTGTTTTGATAAAGAAGACTGAGTATGTTAGAAACAAAAAGAAATAGAAAGAATGATGGGCTGTGAAGAAAGCCAGAAAAGGGAGCACTGACATCAGAAGCGCCATGCTGCCATCTCAAATAGGAACATAAATATTTGTTATTATCATTGTCAAATCTTCCACAAAACATTTGAAATAAAGCAGAGTGATGGTCAAGTGCAATTACTCCCACACAGCTGGTGAAACTCAAGTGATGGCAGAGGACCTGCCTTATGCTTGGCCACCTCTTTAGATGACAGTCCCACAGGCTCCTGAGAGGCATCAGGGATTCACTCAGGAAACTCACATTTGTCGGCGATTACTGCATTGCACTGCAGAGGACTCCTAAGAAAATAGCCTGTTCTTTCCCCAGAATGCATATGGTTGTTGCTTGCAGGGTGGTTTTTTTTTCTCATAAGACAGGCACGTTTCTGGGTTTGTTGGGTAACTATGAAAGAACCCACATATTTGTGCCTCTGTGTTATCATCCCCTTTGTAAATGACGTGTTGACCCCAGCCCATCCTTTTCCTGCAACCCCCTTCCCCAAAATTGCAATAAACAAGAGAAAAAAAACTCAAGGGTAGTTGCTGAAGGTATTAGTGTCCCCATTGCCTCCATTCGCAGCATCCTAGAAGCAAGAACACAATTAATGCGATTGTGCCTAAGCCTGTCCCAGCATTTAGTTGTCTCCAGAAGTTATAGCAAGGTGTCAGACAGCACTGCAACACAGCCAGAAGGGAGATAGAGTAGTTGCCCTCCCTTTCTCTTCCCCTGCAAAAAAGACCAGGGAAAAAAGACGCATAGAAGCCAAATAAAGAGAAATAACATTAACACACGTGCAAAAAAACCCCCAAAACACAGAAAACAGAAGACGTGTGAATTACCAAAATGCAAGTGGGAAAGCAGACTGCTCAGTCAAGGAATAAAGCACAGATAAGATGACAACCAGTTCAGTGGTCAAAGCATAGCTGTGTTCAAAACCAAGATCAGGCCACAGTTTTCAAAGCAGAGCTGCGTTAGATAGGTATCAGCAAAGGTGCTTCATTTTTAGACAAGCTGGTATCTACGACTCTGCATAGTGAAAAATCATTACACAGCCTGGCCGTGGGAGACAGGTTTCCCACAGCTCTTTCCAGTTGTCTGAGGTCTTAAAATGCACACAGTACCTTTGTCAAAGAATCTGCTGTCAGTAATTTATACAAATGCTCCACGTATTTTAATCTTATTAAACTACTAGGCTGGAAGACAGTCGGTGACAGCCCTGGGTTGACATAAACTGGGTAATGTGCACTCTCTCTTATCATTGCTAAAAGTGCTGCCTTTCAAAATGGATAGCCTTGCTCTTTATTTTATAAGAAGGGTAAACAGGAGCCTATGAACAGTACCTTCCGTCCTGGATTTCGCTGTCACAGAATTTACTACCGAATCCACAGCCAACAATAGATTATCTGCCAGACACACACTCATAATTTTAAAAGTGCTTATAGACAAATAACCATGGAAGTGTGAATAGTATAAACCGACAGTGGCAGTTTCCTGGGAAACAACAGCCCAAAGACATTTCAGAAGTTTATTTAAATAAATATTTACACAGGCGTGTGCTGATTTCTCTAGCATAAACAACCAGTTATTGGGTTTAAAAACTATCTCAGTTGAGCGAGGTGTCAGACCAAGTCCCAGCATTCAATCTACAGATACTTAAAGATGCAGATTTATCCCAGATGTCATCTGCTAAACTCACATTATCAGCACCAGCAGTATGATTTATGACCATTGAGCACAGCTGTCAGAAGGGCTATACCTTCCCTTTTCCTAACAAGCTTTAAAGATCGAGGACAGCACATCATAACCACCACAGCTTCCATTGCAGTGTCAGAAGTCCTACTGTATTTGCTGCAGAGTACATTAAACGACTTCTTTTTCTATGGCTGTAGGACATGTCCTTTAACTCGTGTGCTCTATAACTAATCATTTAATTACAAATTACTAAGACAAGAAAAATCTTGTGCTGGATGCATAGTAACTAGCAGAAGACACACTGCTCTGGCCAGCGACACGCTAGGTTGCATAATGAATCCAAATTTCAATATTATGACAACATCCTATCGATTAGCAATACAGGTTCAGCTATGAACCACATTCAACTCTCTTAGACTAGGTCAACAAAGTAAAAGGCAATTACAGAAGTTATGTTCTGCTGTCTGACAACTTAAAATTAAAATACTTGGAATTCAGAAGGAAAAAAATCCAGGTGTCAGCTTCTATTTTACTGAGCAACAACAAAAATACAATCCATTAAGCTGAAAGTACAGAAAAAAAATACAGTCACAGAATAAAAGGTCATTAAATATTAAATATGAAAAACCATAAAATTTAAACATTTATCTTTCCTATTTAGGCAAAATGTTACTGTTAACATCAGCATCTATAAGGAAAAATAAAAAGATTTTCTTTCACTTTCGGTGTCAAAATAATATCCAATAATAATTTAGAGATGAAAATGGGCTTCTTACTCAGCTACACAAAAGCAAATATTCAGCTTTACAGAAAGTAAAATTACTGTTCACTGGGCCATTAGTCACGAACTCTGTATTTTTTTCCTAAGACCTTACCTCCAGGAAGCAGAGCATGGATCTAGATGATTAACTTCAGGCAAGAATTTTTGAAAACTGAAATTCTGACTTAAGCTTTAGTCATCACAGTTATTTTAATGGAAAAAATAAATAAATCCACATTCAAGTAAAATGCTCTAACTACCATGTAATATGGCAATATTACTTATAATTAGGTACGTATTAAACATCACATCTATTTTTGGCATTGCTTTAAAATGGTGTTTACTTCTGTTCTGTGTAACAGGAGTGATCAGAAAAAACAAACATACACGATAAAGTGTCAACATTCCCAGGAACTGTTTTGAAGGGGTTTGACTGCTTCAATGGGTTTTCTTCATACAGTTCTCTTATTGCCAAGAAAAGTCTTTATTTCGGACAGATGTCGAAAATAAACTAGAAGCGATCAATGTCAAAATTGGGGTTGGTTTGGAAACTGATCTATTAACAAATTAAAAAAAATTAATCTCAACTGGTTGAAGTTTTGTATTTGTGGTTGTTTGGGTTTTTTTAAACAGCTGACATAGTTAAAAAAAACAGAAATTAAGAACAATCAGAAAATGGAAAAGGTTGTTTTGGGTTTTTTCCCCATTCAAATATTGCTTAAAATGAGGTTGTTTGCTAAGACTTTCTCTGGTTTTCCTTCACAATTCACTTCCTACTGGATTAACATGACTATATGGAGTCCTCTGAAATGGTACCTTTTATTCAAGTTTTTCTGATCAGACAAGAAATTATAGCAATAGACACCACTTAACCCCCTATGGTTACTTACTTTACAGTGATTTTCAGAGTTTCTTAAATCAGGAAAAAAAAGGATTAAGGATTCGGGCTCTCAGTTTAAAACATTCCACATTAACAGCAAAAACACTATCACTTTCCAAACGGCCAGCGTGGTTTAAGATGCTCGTGCTGTGCAAGCATCTCCTCCCCAGCAGCTCAGCAGCTGACCTGGAATTTGCACACCCTAAAACCGTCACACCTGAACCCTCCAACATGTGGAGTTGTGTTTCCATGGCTCCACACTGAGCCATGGAGACTGTAATCTGCAACTAGGAGATGTGGTCCAGCAGCTGGAGCTGGTAGAACCTTCAGCCACTCCAACTAGATCTGAAATAGGATCCGCTTCCCTTATGCTAAAGTTTTAGTTTAAGGATTATACAAAAGATTCTCCACCAAGCTTGTTTCCCGTACTGTGTACACACTCAATTTATTTCTAGACGTAAGGATAACTGTCACGTCTTCCTAGGTGCGTATTCAAGCAGCAGGAAGTGCTGTTTATAGTGCACAAGCGTGACAAGACCAGGGCACGTGCCAGCATGCTCTGGTTGCCTTCAGCATAAAATCCAAGAGAGGAGCCATGGTGTGCTGGCTCCTCAGTCCTGATGGACGTGGGGTTAGGACTACCAGACGCACTGCAGAATATATTAGCCATGCGAGGTAAGCACAGCCGTAGGGATAACTTCTAGCAGAGCACTATGTCTGAAGTTAAGGATTAAGCCCCGTGCTGCTATACGTCTATCAATTATTCAATGCTTCTTTCAGCTCACTATTAGTAGTTGGTCACCTTAGTTCTCACTAAAGGGCCACAGTCTGCGGTTTAGACTATGCCAGCCAGCAAGTTTTTCTGCACAACTTTGCCAACTATCTTCTCTGTTTGCTGGCTGCTTTTATTCTGGCTTTTATTCTTTAGTCTGACTGTTTTAATCATGGGTGCTTCATGAAGAAGGAATTGCAAATGCTCACCGCTTCTAGTTTGTAAGACGTGAAATTGTACATTGCCACGATACTGTGGTCGCATTTGAGACATTCAAGGCAATAACACATGTAGTTGTACTTCAGTGCATGTTCTTTGTGCTGCCAACAACCAAAAGCATCCTTATTGATTTTTGTTTTGAAGGAGAGGGCACAATAATTCTGAGATTGATACTATGCACCACTTTGCAATCTGATGCTCTTGTGCAGTAACTATGTCAACTGAAGCAATTGCAGACACTCAGTGCTTGGACACACTTCAGTTTTCATCAACTGTACTGGAAACCTTCTATCAGGATTCAAGGAAAGAATTTGGTCTTAAATTCTTTTTTATAGCAATCTAATTAATACCCCTTTTAATGAACCATCTAAATCAGATTAATCAGGTATTTCTAGTTGATGAGGTAGAAATTACATGCAACACCAACTACGCTTTTTAGCAAAATGAACGAGTATTTGACTAACAACAGATAGCAAATTATGGGCTAGGTCGTTGTCTAAATCAAAATACATCCAGGTGAATTACCGAGAGCAATAAATTGTCCATTACTTTATAGGATAAAAAGCTTAAGATTTTCATACCGCACATTTACTGTGCTGTGCTATTATTTCAGGGTAGAGAATGATATATTGATGGTAAAAGCATTGAATAAAATAAACAAAAACAAGATTGAAATTCTTACCAGGAATTTTTTTTGCCCAACCAATCATGTGAACCAGCTCTTTGTCTGCCAGTTTTGTCAGGGACATCATCATGGAGGCCTCCGTGAATGGTTTGCTGGGACGACTCACCAACACATTGGGAGGCTCCGCTTCAAGTAGTGTTAAAACAAACTGCTCCGGACTGACTGTGCTGAGCAGGATCTCTTTTACGCGGGTCGCCGTCTCATTGTATTTCTTAGCTTTGCCAATGCAATGCACCTGATCTTCTGAATTACGATGGCGACGCAGGATCCGATATCCACAACGTTCTCTTCTTGAGGCTGACACGAGAGGCACATGATTGCATTGAAGTATTTTTCTCTCAGTGTTGCATTATGTAAATCCAAATGTTTGGGGAGAAGGGGAAAAACCCTTTAAAATTGGATGTTCTAATATTGAACATCAGGTTTCAGAATTGCTAGAGCATTCAGCATTGAGTTAACTTTGTTTCCACTGACTTCAGCTGAGGCTTTTGTTTATTCTACTAAACAAAAAATAATGTTGAAAAATGTTTATTTTTTAACTTCAGTTAACTCACTTTAAAAGTCCATGGGAAAATTCCCATTGACATCAAAAAGAGATAAATCAGGTCTTTAAATGCAAATAAAGATACATGTTTGTAAATTCTGTTTTTAAATTCTGTTTTAGATGTAAACTGGGGGAAGAAAAGACTTCTGAAAGTCTGGGCCATGATACAGAGTAAATACCTCAGCCAGAAGCACAGCCAGGCCTCACTGCCAGCTGGGTGTTCAGCTAGGGACTTACTAAGATGCAACCCATTTTCTCCCTACATCCCATTAAGCCAGCAGGAGTTTCCCCAAAGCGAATTCAGGTATCTACAACTTGAAGGAGCAAGCCCCCTGTTTGGACTTCTGCATGCAGAACGCTATTTCTGTTGCAAAGAACAGTCCTTTAAATTCCTGGAATTAATTTATTGTTCATTCTGACGACACCAAACATTCTCCAGTTCTCTGTCAGTGTTATTGGTGGGACCACCAACAGTGCAAGAACACTGTTATCTGTTCTTGCATAGCTGCCATGGAAAGAGTCTAAAAGTGTCTCCAAAAACACAGTATGGGGATTTGCTAAAACATTCAGCCATGGTTTCTACTTCCCTCACCCCTTCAGCATATTCTGTAACAAGGGCTATGTTTACTGATTTACAAATAATCCTTGGCAGTAACTAATGTGCAAGATTGTACCATATTAAAAATCAGGATATTTAAAAACATTAAGTTGCTGAAGAGATCCTTAGACAGGAATCCTCCAGCACTTAACATTTCTAGTATCACAGCTAAATTGTCCTCCAAATCTTTTAGAAGTTAATTTTTTGTGCTGGTCATCAATACTTTTACTGACATATGATACTCAAAGGTTGAATTTTCATAGGTATGAAAATGCCTGTGCTAACATAAATCTATACCAAACCAACATTTATTATTGCATACATAGAGACCACGGAGTCTTAAAGCATAATAAATTGTCTCATTTGGTTTCAGTCCCACAATGAATTTGACAAAAGCATCCTTTCTGCTACTGCTACTATCTTGACATTACTACATTTATGAAGCCTTTTTGGTGTGTTGCCTAAAGACTTCTTGTCCTGGTCACAGTCTCTGGTTCTTTTTCATTAGGGTATGTGATTAAAGGCTCCATAAAGTGCATGAAGACAAAGAAGCAAAGGAACGATGAAGATGGAAGAATCCCAAGAACCTAATCAATGACGACAAGCACACTGACTAGGCTATTGTCAGGGCTATCAAAGGAGAATGATCAGCCTGTGGTCTGGGCATGATACCCAGCAGATAAGTCAACAGGAAAGGCTTTTCAGTTCACCTGGAGGGACCAGGCATTCCAAGCCATCCACTAGAAAGACCAGAGGATCTGGGTGTCAGCTACCAGTAAGGCCATAGGTTTGGACCAGCTGCCAGAGACCTATTTGTGTGTGTGTGTGTGTGTGTGTGCGCGCGCGCACACGCACACGTGTGCAAAGGAGTTTGTGCACAAGGTACCTGGAAGAATAGAGGATCCAGGGGCCAGCTACTGGATAACATTGACTTTCTAAAGCCAGTTATTGCAGGGATCCATAGCACATGTATTTCTGTAGCCATTTGTGTGGGAGAAGGTCTGACTACCAGCAACTGCGGTGAGGCTGCAGACCCAGAGGCCATCAGCTGGGGAGATATGGGGATCCACAGGCCAATTATTTGACAGACTGAGTGTCTAAACCCAGCTACTGGAAGGATCCATATTGTATAAACGCATATATTTTCCACTGCTCAGTTCACATGAGTGCTGTATGTTCTGTCTGTGCTGATCTGTGTGGCTGACTGTGGATACAGGTATAGTGTGTGTATGTGCCTAATACTACATGCTCAGACTTGCTACTGGATCTGGGGACATGGCAATGTGGCAGTTTCCCTTCTGTCAAGCTGCTGGATTCAGTAATTCCTACCATTCTTCATCCATATCCATCAGAGTTATATAGACCATGAGTTGTCTAAATTCCAACCAGGCAATGGAATTCTGGCCCTGGGTTTCAGTTAGCAAAGAGGTCCGAACATAAACCAAATTAAAAATAAAGGGACTGGGGCACAAAAAATTAATTTCAGATGCTGTTGACAAGGCTTTGTCTTGGTAAATAAAATGTTGGGTGAATGCAGACTCTCAGTGGTGGTGGTTCCTCAGATGAGGTGGCTTTTCAGGTCATAGTCCTGTCTTGTCTTCAGCAGCTATCAAGCACCATTTGAGTCAACCCATGAGAAAGGTGAGATGCAAAGGCCAATCGGGTACAACCTGAAGGCACTGAAAAGACTGGGTAAGGACTAACAAAGTCTGCCAGGACTTTAAGGATGTGGAACTTTCAACTGCACATTGCTATCATCCTCACTTGCTGCCTGTTCAGTAAACCACCTCAGATGTAAGAGAGAACAGGATGACCATTAAAGAAGTTCTCAATATTGGAGAACACCCTCTATCTGGAAACCCAAGAGACTAGAGAATACAAATAGGCAAAGCTGGTTCAATGAACAGTCCTCAGGCATGGAGGAATCCAAATGGAACAAGGCATTTGGAACTGGAAGCATTATCAGCTGGGAAGTCCAGCTTAAGGTCAGCACCATTTTGGGCAAGGATGGGTTTGCGTCCTTGAAAGGAATATGGGTAGGATGAAATGGGTTGAGTACTGACAGGCTATTTGCAGAAATAATGGACTGAAGGAAAAAAATCAATGATTTGCAGAACCAAATGCTTAGCTGAATGACGTCTAGCTAGAAGTTGCCAGAGCAGCTGAACAGCAGTTAGGGAAAGAAAACATACCAGGAGAGACAATCAGAGCTGGAGACATTATCTTATGGTAGATTCATGAAATCAAACTTGATGATACCCAAAAAAAGGTTACCTGCAGAACTACAAAGTCAGAGTTCAACCGTCTGTCTGGGCAAATCCTTTTCTTCCTGAGAGAGTCAAAGGACAGTGAGGCATAGACTAATTTCTAAAAAGACACTTGGATGATGTAGTGAACTCTGTGCTAAGCCTCATTTTGGACTGATGCACAAAGGTCAAGAGGAAAATCTTGAAGTGCTTTGTCAGCTTCAGAAAACCATTAGAATGGCACAGCGGGCTGCAGACTGTTCTGAAGTCATGTCATGCACAGAAAGTATGTAAATATTTTCCATCAGGGAAGACAAAGAGGAAAGGTCGACTGTGAGCTAAGCAACTGGAACAAAAGTACAACTGGAGACAGATGAGGAAATGCCTAGGTATCAGGGTGGTCTACCTACAGAGATCTCCATGGCTCTGATTTCCATATGAATGTGCACGGTAGAGACCGTAACCACCAGGAGAGAACTGAACTAAAGCAAGAAGCAACACCTCACATCGTTTCTACTATTTAGAGAGCTGAAGCACATTGAACATGGGCATCTTGAAGGACAGAACAAGAAAAATAGCACAGAGGGACTAGAAGCCATAGGGGGATGCAGGGCAGAGGAGAAATTTTCTTGGGCTATCAAAAAATACCAACTGCTCCACGACATGCATAGTTTTTATTCTCCAGTACCTGGTGGAGCTGTGAAGCCCCAAAAAAGAAGACACACAAATAGCAGGCTTTTAATTAAACACATGGAAAAGGTGTTCAGTTAGGGACCATATCTAAAACAATAAAGTCAGAAAAACTGCTGGTTTAAGAGGGAGCTGGGGAGAGGAGGAGATGCCTGACGACACAATGAGGAAGAAATTCCAGCAGTTTGGACACACCTGCCAGAGGTAACATGTGGTCAAGCAAGCACTTGCAACCAGCTCATTGACCCTAGTTCAGTTCCTGGCACTGAAGTGAAGCAAGTGCACTCTTGTGGGACTCTACATCCTCTGACCAGCTGTCCTCAGCTCTGTTACACTGTCACCCAGACTTCTCTGCGGCACGGAAAATATCAGGCCTTTGATGCCAAGACCCAAGTTATCCTTTCAAATTTACTGTTGTAAAGATTTTTAAATACTATTTTGTAACCTATCCAAAATATAAACACACAGGTAAGTGACCAGGTACTTTAATGAAGATCAAAGAAATCAGTAAAATTTAAAAAAAGATTAAAAAATAGTAGTCTAGCATCCTGTTCTAATTGATACAATCTTGTACAATTTTCATCTGCGCAGCTGCACTCCATGCTCCATCTTAAAATAATTCAGTCAGGTTGTGACACTTATTGACAGTATTAAAGGTATCAATACTTGTGGAGGGTTCTTACTGGGAAACAGCAAGCCCCTTTAAATTACTTTAGGTTATTTAACTAAATCAAGTTTCATGTATAACCAGTACTTATTAAAAAAAAAAAAAAGCTCCATTTAAAACATAAAAACGGTTTCTATAATCATATCTCCAGTGCAGAAAGCCAAACTAGGAGTGTTAGACATTTCTGTATAAAAAACTTGTTACTAAAAAAAATATAGTTGGTGATGAAAAAAAGAGGGGAAAAAATCCCCACTAAACCAGATTCTGAATTATTGTTTGTATTTTTTAATCAACATATATTGCCAAACCAGGTGAAGGCTGAGTCACTGAGCAGTGTGCATAAAACACAGCTCGTCAGTAATTAAAAGAGATACCATTTATTTCCACATTAAAGTTTATTCTGCTTGTATTAAAAAAAAAAAAAAGAGTGCATTGTAAGATTACACATCTAAGAAAACAACATTTAAGCTTGCTAGTCAATTGACATATCAGAAAGTAGCAGCCTTTCCAATCAAAACAACATTTCAACAACGTAAAGGAGCTTCTGTGCTT